GGTACCATTTCACAGATGTCAGCATAGGAAACCTTCAAGCCAGAATTTCAAGGAAGTGAAGAATTTTTTTAAGTGAAAGCAGGTATCCGGCCTTAGGTACACTGCTGTACACTGGATCATCACAAATGGCAGCAGCAAAAGGCACTTGAGGCAAAGCCCGCAGCTGCTCCTCAGGTAAACCAGCAGTTTGTGTAGCCTTTCAATTACTGCATAGCCACTTTCAAAAGGAAAGTGTTCTTTTCTAGTTTACGTCTTTTTTTTTTTTTTTATCTTTAGAGTCTGCTACAAAAATTACTGATATTAAGATCTGGATTTTTGAAAGAGGGGATGTAATCTAGAAATGACACTAGGATGCTGGGACTCTTTCTAACTTGGTTTCCCAAGCTGCCTGGCACATATCAGCTGCTGAGCCTGCCTCACCTCTTCTATTATAAAATGTTGATGTTATTTACGTACTTCAAAAGGACTGGTTAATTAACAACAGCTTGTAGAGTGATTTCAAGATGGAAAAACATGGCAATTACTGCGAACAGTAAAGGCACTGCAGGCTAATTTTCATTGATGGTAATGTTGATTAACAAATTTACAGCTCTAATAAACACTGTTACTGCTTTTGAGTGCAAGAACAGGTGAAGAGTTGCCATGAGAACTGATGTAGCTGAGTGTGCTGCAGTTCAGTGCTACTGACATCTCTTTATTATTATGATAATGGTATTCATTGATTACTAAGAGTAGATTTACCAAAGTGAGGGACTGTCACTCCCTCATTAACTCTGCCTGATGGTGTACATGCTGTGTGTCATCTCAAAAGCACCTTGTGGCAGTCTCATTCCCCTTTCTTCTTGTTCCAGCCACCTTGCGATGGTGACACAAATCAACAGAGGTGTGTAAGGCACCATATAAACAGGATGCTCTATAGCATGAGGAATAATTTATGAGCATTGCTCCTTTTTTGTTCTCAATGCTAATCACCAACACACTGAATTTGTTTAACCTTCTCTTCTTAAAGAGATGGCAGGTTTCCATTTTTTTATGTCGAAGCATTTTGCAATGACTTAGGGCAATGCTAAGGAGCTTCTACCCAGTAGCCTGAGAATTTCAGGACACCTCTTTTTCATCTGTCCCTACCCATTTTTTTTTGTTATACCCAGCTCTAGTAAATGGTCCACTGTGTAGTGGCAAATGAATTAATGTTAAAGTAACCTTTTCTATTTCCCTAAAACAGCTAAAACTCATTTAAGAGGGGTAAATATAGGTACAAACCTCATCTCATTCTTTTCAAACTCCGCCTTGTGAGTTAATACCATATTGGTTACTTGTTGCCTTAGCAACTCAATTAAAACCATATTTTAAAAAGTAAAAGACACTCTCTACTTTCTCTTGAGTAACAAGCTGAGCAGCCCTTCTCTGCTGCCCGGTTCTTATTTTCAGTGAAATATCAGCTTTCTTTTAAATAAGAAAATTATGTTGTGTGCATTTCCCTTTTCTCAACATTATGGTCATTTTAACTAAAGCAATTGATGAAAAATGTGCACCTTTGACATAATTTGGCTTTCAGATGACCAGCTGAGAAGAGAAGAACTGTCATTCTTGTTCTTTGCATGGTTCTGTTAATGTTGTCACATAGCTCTGGCCTAATGTAAAAGGTGTATATGTTATAGGGAGCTTGGTCTGGAGGTGCAGTTCTGCCTCCTTTCAGCTGTGTGCTGTAGACATCAAGGTAGGACAACCTGTCTCTCTCTCTTGTCTGCCACCCTAGGCAGCATTGGCAAGGGGGTAGCTTGGATTGCTGTCATAGGCTTCATTGGGTTTTGTGTGACTGATCCCACTCATGGTCAACAGATCAGTATCTTGCCGTTTGCAGGTCTAGGCCATGAGATTTGAATTCCAGATTCCAACAGTGCTGGGCTGTTCCTGATGGATGTGCTACAGTACAATACAGGGGAACAGGGCTTGGCTCCATAACTCCAGAGACAGTTGCAACAGCAGAGGGCTGTGTCTTGCCTTTTTACCAATGTGAGGATAAATCAGAAAAAGAGCTCTGAAGTCATCTGTGCACTGTGGAGGGCCTTTATGTGGTTTAATAATTCTGGTTTTGCCTGAACACCAGAGCTGTATGATCAAACTTTACACTCTGGGAATTATTTGCAGCTGCAAGTAAGTAGCTTAGTTTTCTTGCATAGTCAGTGAAAAAACAGACCTTTTCAGAGAGCAGTTCAGAACCAGTATTTCTCTTAGTGCTCCAAGGACTGGTCTCTCTCTCCCTCCATTGCCTAAAGACAAAGCCTAAGAATACTATTTTGCTAATACAGGCACTTCAGTTAGTGTCACGGAGGCTCATGAAATCAAATTAGGCAGATGTAGATTCAAAAATAAACTTTATTTTAACCAAAATTATTTAGCAGAAAACTAACTAGAAATGAGGCATTAACACTCCGACAACATCAGTAAACCACAGGTTCAGGATGGTGTATGAGGGATTAATACTGCACAGCCGGCTTTAGAAATGAGGATCCAAAATGTGCACAATCACTCACCTATGAGATGAGGGCTGTCAACCTGGAGGAGTTTCCTTGGGTGGCATCCCGACCCAAGGGGCGAGTCCCCGGCTGCAGACCCGCTGCTCTGAGGAGGACCGACTCAACTTGCCCTCCGGCGGGGCTCCATTTATACCCTACTCGACTCTGATCTGTGGTCAGTTCTAATTGGCTGAGGGCCTTAACTTTCTTATTCCTCACCTGAGGTGTATACGTGACCATAATTATTGGCCCAAAGCATGTACGTGACAGTCAGCACTCGCCACCTTAAAGGCACGAAAGTAAGGGTGCGAAAAGTAAGGATGCAGCAGTCTTCATGCCCCCAGTCTTTGTCAGGGCAAGTGCACCTGCCACAGGTAGGTAACCGAAACGATGCATAGGAGTAGCTGTAGTGTGACCATTGCAAATTGCCCTGGTGAAATGTCATTGTCTCTTTACAGAGTGAAAATTGCCACAGTGAAATGCTGTTTTGTCTTTACAGCGTGGATATGGAAAAAATAGCACTTGATTTATGCTCCCTGTGCATATTCAGAAGCAAGTCTGCTAAGTAAATGACTTAATGGGAGTTTACTAACTTATTCCTGTTATCACTGCACAGCCAAGTAGGCAGAGAGTAGTCTATTTTGTCTCTATACCATCAGCAAACAGGTAGTCACTTACAAAGTCCAAATCAGTGACCTGGTTTCGGCTGGGATAGAGTTAATTTCCTTCCTAGTAGCTGGTATAGTGCTGTTTTGGATTTAGGATGAGAATAATGTTGATAACACACCGATGTTTTAGTTGTTGCTAAGTGGTGCTTACACCAGTCAAGGACTTTTCAGCTTCCCATGCTCTACCGACTGAGAAGGCTGGAGGTGCACAAGAAGCTGGGAGGGGGCACAGCCAGGACAGCTGCCCCAAACTGGCCAAAGGGATATTCCATACCATGTGATGTCATGCTCAGTACATAAACTGGGGGGAGTTGGCCAGGGGGCAGTGACCGCTGCTCGGGAACTGGCTGGGCACTGGTTGGCAGGTGGTGAGCAATTGCATTGTGCATCCCTTGCTTTCTATATTCTATTATTATTATTATTATTATTATTATTATTATTATTATTATTATTTTCCCTTCCTTTTCTGTCCTATTAAACTGTCTTTATCTCAACCCATGAATTTTACTTTTTTTTTCCTGATTCTCTCCCCCATCCCACTTGGGGGCAGGTAGTGAGCAAACGGCTGTGTGGTGTTTAGCTGCCTGCCGGGTTAAACCACATCAGTTATAATGCGTAACACAACACAGACTCCAATGACAGTATAATCTGAACATGAAGTGCTATATTAATAAGGGCCTGTTTTTGATTAGTAAAGCCTTTAATCCTGCTAAATGGTGCATGTAAGGCAAAGGACCAGCTTAATTTTAGATCCCAGTTGAGCTTGGGAGGCTGAACTGAGCTGATCTGATGAACAGGCGATAATCATAGACAATCACAATGTCATTTTAACAGGATCTGTATGAAAATGAATAGTTCTTTTCCTTGAATGGCTGCTCACAGCTCATCACCAGAAATACCACTTCAGTTTTATTTTTCATTTCATGCACCAAAGTGGAGAGTGCATGCATTAAAAGAGAAGCTATACAAATAAATTCATAACATTAGCATGATGCAGTATGTCATTAAAAAGATAAGTAATTAGGTTTGGGCATAATGTGAACAGCTTGACTTTTCCCTGACTATTACTTAAGAACTTGAAATGTGAGGTGTGTTAGAGTTAATGAAAACCACCAATGACATAACGTAAGGGCTCTGTGCCTTTTTATCAGCACTGTAAAAGCAGAAAATACATACCACCCGTTGACTGATCTCACATCACAATATTTTGATTGCTATTAATAGTCACATGCCTCAGTAACCTTGAGAACTCTGATACATCAGTCCTGCTCCCACTGTGTTTGGTGGCAGAACTAAGCCTCCCACAGATTTCAGTAACTACAAAATGTAGCCTTTAACGGTGAACCTAGAAACATGGATATGTGGTTATTTACTGAGCTGTCTGTGTGATTACAGTGGCAAAGTCCCTTGGTCCTTAGTCAAATAAATTTCTTATCCCCATTAATTGTAATTAGGGCTACGTGAGAAACAAAGTTTTGGTATTCTATATTTAGAAATAAAGGATTTCTGTTTAGAAGAAGGGGGAAGGGGATGCTTTTTGTATGCAGCACTCATGCACTCACCTATAAAGTGGGAGTTGCTGCTAAGCCTCTGAGCTTGCAGCTGGAAGGGGTGCTTGGTGGGTGAAAAGCTCCCTGCTAGCAGATCCGCAAAGGATTACAGTCTCAGCATTTGTTATTTTACGTTGTCAGCTGATGCTGGTAGCTCCTCTCAACCTATTGCGTTTTACACATTTTATCCTTAACAGCAGGAGTCGACCTCTGCTTTCGATGCTCTGCTGACTTTCTTTCTCATCCCCTTGGTACCTTTTCAGACCTGCAGCTCCCAGTCGTCACCCCAGAGTGCTCCGGCCAGCCTGGACTGTCAAGGGCCAGCGCCGCAAGCAACATGTCCCAGGGCGGCAAAAGCACTGACAAGACACGTACTGCCCATCTGCGGTACTGGTGGAAGCAGAGCACGAGCGCACAGCTGTAAGCTAATGGTACCCCACCCCCAGAAACCGCGAGGGCTTCATTGTGCTTTTAGTTGGGAGTCAGGGATGCAGAACGTAGCAAGAGAGGAGATCGCAGCAGGTGGAGCACTTGGATGTAGTATCTCTTATACTTGCATAATGTTTGTTTCTGTACTAGCCAAGCTTGAATGTTTTGTGTGTGAACAGCTAAGTCTTTATGTTGAGGGCATTGAAACACCGTGACAGACCCAGAGACAACCCTGAATGTTTAGGTCTCATAGCGGCTGAGCTATTTCCTGCTCCCATCCCTGCCTTGCCCCTGCTACAGGCACACATATGTAGTCCTTTGCACAGAGACCCTCTCTTAAGTGAAGAACTAAAAAATATTTGAGAACTGGCTGTCCAAGTGCTGTTTCCTATGTTACAGTATCTCACAAATTTTATGTTCTGAGGCCCTACCATCCTGCAGAGGGGAGAAAAAGGTCTCTTTAATATAGATATTATTAGACTCCCTTAACAGATAGCAAAATTGAGGTCTGGAAAGGCCACGTATTGCCAAAGATTACACAGAAATGGGAGGAGAGCCCTATGTCTTTTACCGGTAATCAATCTTAGAGACCCATAATTTCTATAGTCATCTTCTCATTGCATTTGCTATGAGGTAGATTGATACTCAGAGATTTTAGCAGGCAGAATAATAACCACATCTGTGAATATGCCCAAGTATAGCTCAAATTTCCCCAAGTAATAAGCTTTTAAATAGCAGAATTTTTTCCTTGGGTTTGCTTTTCTTCTGTCCTGTTTCTATGGCTGATTATTTTTGTGTGGACTGTGGGAGCTGTAGGCCAGTAACTAGACAGCCATGTCACTTCCTAGACAAAGTTTGCTTGCACAATTATTTTATGTTTAGCTGATTTATTATAGGTTATTTCTAGGTGTCATACTCACTCATAATATTTGGAATCACAGTTCATGGCTTTCATTAGGGAAAGCATGCAGTGCCACGTTTGTGTCCCTATATTACATTGAAGAAAGTGCTAACAATAGTGCAGTCTTTCCACAGTTTGGTATTTTTCCTGAATTCTCTACAAATCAGTGTTAAATTTGGGTACCTTGACTATGCACTTCTATTATTTAAGCTGCTTGGATTTCTTTAATGTTTTTACCTTCACTCTGAATGTCCTCGGTTTGCAACAATTACAACATGCCCACAATGCATTTACCCATATGTACTTTCAAACGTAACTCCCTCCTAACACAGTTAATTTCTATGTATGGAAATTCAGATTTTAAAATACTGAAAGCAATAGAAAGACTTGATATAAAGCTTTGTTCCAGTCTGCTTGGTTTCATCTACTGTGTTGTTTAACTTAGGGGAAAAAAGGCTCATTTCCTCGGTCAGTTAATTTCGCTATTTCACTATTTCACTATTTTCTTATAGTTCATTTTCCTCATTTGCAAAAGCACTTCATTAATGCTATGTATTCTTATTACTCTCTAGGAATCAGGTATTAGCTTCACCAGACCACAAGGACATCCTTAAAGCTCAAGACTTTTCTGTCATCATCAAAGCATATGTGCTTGTGACGTCCTTAACACCTCTGCGGGCATTCATTCATTCAACTGCCACTGTCTGGCATCCACCCAAGAAGAAACACTTTTCCGTAAAGGTAAAACATTCCATTTCCTAATTTTTCCCTCTTTCAGGCAAAGTGCAGAGACAGAAAACCAGACAATATCTTTCTTCTCTTTTACCCCTTCTTTATTTGCAGTCTCCAGCTGACACATGAATATTCTCCTAATGTACATCTTTCATTTCTCAGAATGAGTGGGGTTTCATTCATGAAGGAGGGAAGAGTTGCCCTATGCAGGGGGGGGTTATGAAGGGCCCTGGGATTTGCTTGCTTCAGAGCCCATTTTTATTGGTGACGTTTGACAGCAGTTGCAAGGTTTTCTCTAAAGCACAGCAGTGGGGATTCTGTCATGCAGTAACGTCTTTTGCCCGGATATTGACAGTGTTTTAAAAAAGGAAAGTAAATATTTAAAATGGTTTGTTTAGATTTCTTTTTTAGGTGCAGTAAAACAGAATGGAGGAGGGTTAGGGCACTTCTAAATAAGGGGAAGGAAGTATACCATGAAGAGGGTGGGCCTCCCATGGTGTCTAGGTTTTATGAAGAAGGATGTTTCACATGTACCTTAATTGGATTAACTCTGGACATCTCCAAGGGCCTGGAGAGGCCCCTCTCTTTCCACATCTAGTTTGCTCAGCAGTCCTATGGATTTCCAAACATGTCTTCCCATTCCTTTGTTCTTTCAGCAAGGAACTGTGCTTACAACACGGCAGCTCTTTGTGAAGGAACTACAGTTCTGTGGCTGCTCCTTTCCTTTTGAAGGAATAAGGTCACAAAGTAGCAGTGATTTCTTGAGGTCACATAGATCAGTTCCTGCATCAGCTATCTGAGGATGGGTGCACTTTGCCCATGTAGCCCTCTTGGGGTAGGAGCAGGTTTTGGCTTTGGATCAGTCTAAGTGTTGTGGTGTGACTGTCAGGACTCTTGATAATGCCAGCCATTTGGTATGTTCTACAATTTTAGCTCTCAAAGTTAAGTGCCTAGTCTAAGCTCATTATCTAATTCTAGTTATTGGAGAAACAGACACCTCTAGAGAACAAATCATCCCACCCAATTTAGACACTAATTTTGGAATGAGATGAGTTTCCTGCTAAACATGTCTGCTTCCTTCTATGGGCTATGACATTCTTAGAGAACACGCCAAATTCTAGACTGCCAAAATTAGGTGAGATGAACCTACTTCTCTTTCTTTCCCCCCTCGGAAGCTATGGAAACCCACCCATATTATTTTGCCATCTATTTTCCTCTATTTACATTTAGGAAGACTAATGGTCACTCACTTTCAAACCTTGGCGTTCAGTTTTATTTTATGTTTATTAAAGTAGCACAATGTCCAGCAGCATCACTATCGCAGCTGAAGTAGGGACTACTTTAAAGGCTAGTAGTCATTAGTAATTGTGATATGGCTCTGTAAAATCATTTCCACTGAGGGAAGTCTGCTGAACGGGGTGCCAGCCACCATTTACAGAGTATTTTGGCAGCTGAAGAAGCAATAGAAATGATAGATAGAAGCAGCAGCACATTTACAGTAGTTCCAATCTCGTTACTGCCGCTGTGGTGTTAGATCTTCCACAGCTTTAGGCAGACTTGTCAAAATGGCAAGAAATAAACAAAAAATAGGCACCACAGAAAGCACATTTGTAGTGATGCATAGATTGAAATGCAAATTAACAAAATGATGGAAAGTGGGGTGTATAAGACTGTCTCTCAGCATAAACAGTGTGCCCTATAAAGAACCTGGGAGGAGCCAGGGAGTCTCCAGGAGAAGTGAGATACGAATTCACGAAGTGGCCAGAGAACATTACTGAGAGAATCGTAGAGAGGCTTCTGTGCTTGGTGCAGAGGCATCAGGCAGGAGATCATCAGTCAGAAAACAATACTTAGGAGAAGGTTTGAATTCAATCATTGATATCCTTTGGGATGAGATTACATCAAGTTTCTCATAAATGTCATGGAGCTGTCACTTGTTGCCAGTGGGATGTACAATGCTAGCAGAGTGATCTCCTCTCTCAAAGCAGCCAGTGGAGCTACACATATTTGTACCAGCCAAGGAACCTGGTCCAGAAAGCTCCTAAGCTTTCGGTTTCTGCCAAGTCTATTGTGTAGGAAAGAAAATTGTTTGCTACGGTGTAAAGCTCCAACCTGTCAATAGTCAATAATGACAGAAAGGATCTCTAAGACCTGTTCTTCTGCTGATTGACAGAACACCCATCGCTGTCACTGGGAACTGAATATGGCTATAGAGGAGACTTTGGCCTGGAAAAATTTGCTAGTGTTTGATGTGTTTTTCCCCAAGAGCAGCTGACTGAATTTTTTTTTTTAAATGAACAGATGAGAATAATTTTAATCTGCTGCATTGCCATCACAGATGTGCTGCTTTCAGTAATGTTGCACAATAATTTAGAGACCTCCTCAGTGTATATAGGCCTCTGGTCAGCAAATTTTCTCATACCAGTATAATTAAACTATTATTGAGAAATTGATCCGCAATTGTGGTTAACTTGGTTACAACGTTACTATCACAAACTCAGTATGTTAAGTTTAAAATTTGATCCCCTGTGTACAACAACCCTTTATGGTTGTTAGAAGTAACCATAATGTGGTCTATATGAAGGAGAGATTTTTAAGAAGACTGGAGATGGGGTACCAGATGATATCAAATGATTAAGATAAACAGTGTAAAGAAAAACCGGAAATTTATTGAATTAAATAATACTGCATTCCCCACTGCTTCTTTGTTAGTAAACTATTATAAACTATTTTTACAACTCAGATTTACTTATCCTAATCATAGTGGCAAGGCTTCAGAATGACTCCTTGAATAAGCATTGGCCAAATGGCAGTTCAGGAAGAGTTCAAGCATGTTTTGCTCATCAGGTGCCAGGTTTTCTCTGGATTATACATATTTTAGTATCTCAGTTCAGAAAGCAAAGGAAGCTAAATCCTCTGCTGGCATGAGGATATTCTGTGTAGTCAAGGAGGGGCAAAAGTGCAACTCTACATTTGGGCCCTCGTTGGGAAGATGCAGGAAATGTAGGGGAGAGAATGGCTTTCTGCCACACAAATGTTTTGACATGAGACTTGCGTAATAGCCTTATTTCCTTGAGGAAATTTGGAAACCCCTTATTTAGACCATCTGTGTTCTGAAAAATTAATAATAAAATAGAAGCTTTCTATTTTGCATATGGTACCAATTAAGGGATGGGTCTCTGTCAATGTATGCAACAATTCCTTTCATGTTAATCGACATTGTGCAAGTGTATTGAGCAGAAGGCTAGCCCCTGAATAATTTTCTGTTTTATAGAAGCTGATGTGTGAAACAGTCATTTATGATTAATTCTCTCAAGGTTTAACACACTGTGAAGTGCTTCCTTTGCCCTGCCATTAACCTTTCCCAACCTGGTCCTAGTTCTTAATGAAGGGATGCACTTCTGTAGAATTTGGTGGTGCCACATCCTGTGTCACCTGGGAAGGCTCTTCTGTGCTGTCAGCAGCTTTGCACGGCCCCCGTTCTGGCTCACTGTCCCTTCACTCATCCAAAATAGACAGTCAGGTGTCTCCTGGATTTGAATTCCTTGACTGGTGTACTTGCGTAGCCCTTGATACCCTCAGCTGAAACTATGCTCTTAAATCATTTTCCAGTTGTGCAGTGAAGTAAACATAATTTATTAAAGTAGTTTGCTGTTAAGCTTGCTGTGGTATAAGTCACTATAACTATCGCTGAAATTCTCTCTCTGTGTATTAAGCATTTGGAAACTTGAGTAAAGAGAATTGTTTTTTTATACTTAACATATATGCAAGTAAAACTGGACCCTCAGCTACCCAGGAAATACATCTTTTCATATGACGTGGAGGTCTGGCTTAGAGCCAAACACTGTGAAAATTAGGTTGCAGTATTGCCCTCAAGTGGCCAGTTTTGATACTACTTCAAGTAATAGCACAGATATTTAATGTGAAATAGAATGCAAACATACACGCAGATAAAGAGCAGAATGCTTAGAAACAGCAGAAAGGCTCAGGATTTTTTCCCTTTGTTTTATTTTTGAATTCCATATTCTTGCCCTGTCACTTTGCAGGAGCAAATACAAAAGAAAATTACCATCAACTCTTAATCAACTAGATTGCAGGGTTATTTGGGAATAAAATTAAATTTGTTCATTAGGTTCTGTAAGAACTTAGCTTATGCATTTCACTGTTCTTGCAAGTAGCCTGTGTAGATAATCAAATGCTCTAATGCTCCCCTTCCTGGGAGACTGAGCATAACATAAATGCCATCCCTGTTTTCTGCCCTCATAGCATCCAGAGCCCTATCATTTCTCTTTTCCCTGATATAAGAATGAAAGTCTGTCTAGACTGGGGGAGATCAAAGACATGCTTAGTCTGACATTCTGTTTCTGGCAACAACCAGACAAGAAAGCATCATGAAACTGTGTAACAGGACAAGCACAAAGTGGTACTCATCCTTAGGCAGACTATAGCTATTTCTGGTAACCTGCAAGGTAAAACGCACAAAATTGGAAGTGGAATATATCTCTTTATGTTTAATAAGCTCCAGTGGGCTTTCATGCCATGCAATTCTCTACTAGATTTTTTAATCCATTAATGCTTTTGGTCTTCCCAATGTCTTGCGGCAATGAGATTCTACAGGTCATTTATGTGTTGCCTGAGAAAGAATATTGTTTGCCTTAAAACGTCTACCCGATTACTTAATTTCATGTCCCTAATTCTTGTCTTAAAGAAGGAGTAATCCTTCCTTCTTTACCTTCTCCATGACTGTGCCAATCTGTTGTGCCGTGCACAAATAAAGTTAAAATTCTTCCTGGAGTTCTTTTCTGCTCTTCTCATTATAAACATCCCAGTTTAGCTAGTAAGAGCTCTAGACCGATTCTTCTTTATAACGTGGATATAAGTATGTCTTTACACTGTTACCCAAGCTCTCTGCTTTTCTCCTGGACCACAGATCCTCTCGCTCTGGGTGTTCAATCCAGGCAGCTCTGTAAGCATGCCCCTCCGTGGCTCCCAACTTTCCCAGACCTATC